AAAAAAAAAAAAAAAAAAGAAGGAAATCATCAAAATGATAAAGAAGACACAAATTATCAAAACCTATGGGATAATGCAAAGGCAGTTCTAAGAGGAAAATTTATAGCATTGGAAGCCTTCAAGAAAACAGAAAGAGAGGAAGCCAACAAAATAATGGATTATCTCAAGCAACTGGAAAGGAAAGAACATTCCAATCCCAAATCCAGCAGAAGAAAAGAAATAACCAGAATTAGGACAGCATTAAATGAAATTGAAAATAAAAGAATCATTCAGAAGATCAATGAAATGAAAAGTTGGCCTTTTGAAAAGATTAATAAAATTGATAAACTTTGGCCAACCTAACCTGAAACAGAATAGTAAAATCTCTAATATCATCTATCAAACATGATAAAGGAGAAATAATAACAGACACCTTAGAAATTGAAAAAAATCCTCAATGATTACTACCAAAAACTCTATTCCCAGAATTATGAAAATCTGAAGGAAATGGACCAATACCTGGAAGCATGCCACCTTCCAAGACTCAACCAGAAAGAATTAGAAATATTGAATAGACCTACACCAATCACTGAAATAACGTCAACAATACAAAAAAAGAAAAGTCCAGGACCAGATGGCTTCACATCCAAATTCTATCAAACCTTTCAAGAGGAGCTAGTACCTATATTATATAACCTTTTCCAAAACATAGAAAAAGAAGGAATTCTTCCCAACACATTCTATGAAGCAAATATCATCCTGATCCCCAAACCAGGAAAGGATCCAACAAAGAAAGAAAATTATAGAACAATATCATTAATGAATATTGATGTAAAAATATTCAATAAGATCTTAGCAAAAAGAATTCAACTACACATTCAAAAAATTATATGCCATGATCAAGCTGGTTTTATTCCAGGGTTACAGGGTTGATTCAACATGTGCAAATATATAAAGATAATACATCACATCAATAAAATAAAAAACAAAGACCATATGATTCTCTCAATTGATACTGAAAAAGCCTTTGATAATATCCATCATCCTTTCGTGATTAGAACATTTAAGAAAATTGGTATAGAAGGGACATTTCTTAAATGGATAGAGGTCATCTATAGCAAACTCACACCCAATATTATATCGAATGGTACAAAATTGAAAACATTTCCACTCAGATGAGGAATGAAGGAAAGATGCCCACTGTCTCCACTGCTATTCAACATAGTAATGGAAGTCTTAGCCATCACAATCAGGGAAGAGAAGGGGATCAAGGGGATCTAAATAGGGTCAGAGGAGATCAAATTCTTATTCTTCACTGATGATATGATCCTATATGTAGAAAATCCCAGGGATTTAACTACAAAACTCTTAGAAGTGATAAAGGAATACAGCAGCATCTCAAGATACCAAATCAATACTTACAAATCAGTATCTTTTATATATGCCAACAATAGTTAAGCTAAAAATATAGTCAAGGACTTTATTCCCTTTTCAGAAGTGCCAAAGAAGATGAAATATCTGGAAATTCACCTAACAAAGGATGGGAAAGATCTCTATAAAGAGAACTATAGAACTCTGAGAAAAGAAATAGCTGAAGATATTAACAGATGGAAAACCATACCATACTCATAGCTGGGAAGAATCAACATTGTTAAAATGTCCATACTACCTAAAGCAATATACAGATTTAATGTAATCCCTATTAAAGCACCATTGTCATACTTTAAAGAGCTTGAAAAAATAGTGCATCGATTTATATAGAATTAGAAAAAAACTCAAATAGCAAATACATTACTCAGTAATAAAAACAATCAAAAGGTATCATGGTACCAGACTTCAGGCTATGTTATAAATCTATAGTGATCAAAACAGCATGGTACTGGCACAGAAATAGAGCAATAGATTTGTGGAACAGAATAGAGAACCAACAGACGAACCCAGCTACTTATCATCATTTGATCTTTGATAAACCTCTCAAAAATATTCAGTGGGGGAAAGACTTCCTATTTAACTAATGGTGCTGGGTGAACTGGCTGGCAACCTGTAGAAGACTGAAACTGGACCCCCACCTTTCCCCATTAACAAAAATTGATTCTCACTCCATAAAACATTTAAACTTAAGACATGAAACTATAAAAATACTAGAAGAAAGTGCAGGGAAAACACTCAAAGAAATTGGCCTGGGAGAATATTTTAGGACCCCCTGGGCAATTAAAGCAACACCAAAAGTACATTACTGAGATCTGGTCAAACTAAAAAACTTTGGATAGCCAAGAGCACAATAAGTAAAGCAAACAGACAACCTTCAGAATGTGAAAAGATTTTTGCAGGTTATGCTTCCGACAAAGATCTGATAACTAGAATTTACAGAGAACTCAAACTAATCAATAAGAAAAGAACAAAAAACCCCATTTCTATGTGGGCAAGAGACCTGAACAGAAACTTCTCTGATAGAGACAGGTGTATGGCCTAGAAACACATGAAAAAATGCTCATTATCCTTAATCAGAGAAATGCAAATCAAAACCACTTTGAGATATCATCTACCTCCAGTAGCCCACATTACAAAATCCCAAAACTACAGATGTTGGAGTGGATGCAGAGGGAAGGGAACACTTCTACACTGCTGGTGGGAATGCAAGCTAATATGACCTTTGTAGAAAGAAGTATGGAGAACTCTCAAAGAACTAAAAGTAGACCTACTGTTTGATCCTGCAATTCCTCTACTAGGTACCCCCAGATAATAAAAAATTATTTTACAACAAAGATATTTGCACCAGAATGTTTATTGCAGCCCAGTTCATAATAGCCAAGACATAGAAACATCCCAAGTGCTCATCGACCTATGAATGGATTAACAAATTGTGGTATATGTACACCAGGGAATACTATGTAGCCATAAAAAGATGGAGACTTTACATCTTTTACATTTACCTGGATGGAGCAGGGACATATTCTTCTTAGTGAAGTATCTCAAGAATGGAAAAAAAAGTATCCAATGTACTCAATACTACTATGAAATCAATATATAATCAACTATACATTCATATTATTGGTAAAATAAACCATAGTCCAGGAAGTAGAAGGGAAGAGCAAAGAGAAGGGAGAGGAGTGTGGAGATTGGAGGAGGGAGGGTATTTAGGTGGGCCTCACATCATGTGCATGATGCAATGGTACATTTCAAAACTATTAAGAAAAGAGTAAAATTGTGATGGATGTGTTACTTAGTTCAACATAAGCATGTCACATTGCATATCAAATCAATACACTGAACCTCATAAATGCATCAGTGTACACAGTTATGATTTCAGAAAAACAAAAAAATAAAAATAAAGAAAATGAAAGTTATTCTATTCTATTCTGTGTGTTACATTATGTAACTTAAGTGCATTTTTCCCCGAATCAGTCTTCGTATAAGAATGTGAAGTGTTCAGTTCATAGTCATGTGTG